GACGCCTGCCGCCACGCATTGCATCAACTTGATTGTAGATGGTGCTTTCTCCACTGCGACTAAATTCTCGTCGAAAATGGTGAAAGATTTGAAGGTGGGCTTCGCCACCAACTTCTTCATTCTCTCGGGAGTGCAGACAATTTCCACTTGACGATCAAACCGAGGATTGCGGAGCAGATACCTGTAAGCAGAACGAAACGTTAATATCAATATTTTGCCGCGAAAACGGTTATTTTGAACACGTAAACACTATCTTACCCGTATGTCGAGTTGGAGAACTGCTTGTACGCCTTTTGCTCGAATTTGAGCTTTGTGCGTTGCCGCTCCGTCATCAGATCCTCAATATATGGCTTCAGCCAGGCCTTCTGCTCGTATTTCACGCCACGGTGAAATTTGGTGACTCGGAGGCCCAGCTTGAGGTACAAGGCGAGGACTGCGCCGTGCACGACGTAGTTCTGTCGTGGTCCCAGATGTGCAATGAGTTTGGGTTCTTTAAGTTGTGCTTTAGGAAGACGCGCAGCGATCCGCTGCTGGTACGGACTCATCCACTCGATGGGGGCCACCACCTTCTCCACGGCACACGGCCACTCGTCGTGCGCATCGTGCAGCTCGGCCGGGTACTCGAGGCTCACCTCGACCGTGTACATTTCATCGTCATCCTCACGAACCTGTGTCCAATCCTTTTTAGCAAGATCTTCGGGCTCCACCCACTGGTAGTTGTTATACGCCAGCTTTTTGCACATTTCATTTGAATACAGAGCATTCACGTCATAAATCTGAATGTGCTTTTCTGGCTTTGTCGGACTGTACGTAGATGTTCCGGGCACATTTGCCTCCGAGTACCGCTGCATGATGCAGGCCAGGCCGCCTCTCTTTTGCCTCTCAAACATCTGGTACATATCCGGATCCGATAGAACTTCAACCTCGGCATGAGTGAATTTCAGTGCTTGGCACCAGGTGAGCGATGAGATGGAGACAAAATGGCAGACTTCTAGACCATATTTAGCGAACGTCATCGCTTTGAACTTGGTAAAGAAGGCCGCCAAGAGCAGGACGTCCGCATACAAATAGTGCCTCATGTAGTCGAGTAGAGATTCACACCCCATCCCGTTCCACACGTGCTGCGCGCGCTCATACTCCTCCGCGCTCGGCAGAGAGTTGCTCAGGGAGGAATAAAAATCTTGTCGTGCAGGAAGCGTCTTTTGGGCTACAAGTTTTGCGTACGACTCGGTGAATTCATAGCAGTATACTCCTTTTCTCCGGAGCAACTCGTAGTGGGTCGGATCTGGGTAAGCCTCCTTGAGTATGGACAGCTCTGCATCAGTGAGGTGTTCTGTGATGGAGTCGAGTTTCTCGGAAAAGAAATTAAAGCTGTCCACCATTTTTATGGATCTTCTATCTTTTCCCAGATGGATGGTGACACTTCTGTATGTGTCCATCGTCTTGGCCAGCACCGATATCCTCTTCGATCGTAGTTTTGGATGACTCATGAACGCCCGGAACACCAAATGCACATCATATTTGGACCCATTGTGTGACACTAAGCTGAGAAAGGATGTGCGTTTTACTGCTGAATTACATGCTCCGTGAGCCATTCCGCGAATATTTTCCTTCTCCTGCAGGTGCTCGTGATCTCTCACACGGTCCTCGTCTTTTGCAAACGGTTTTCTGCACAAATAACATTCTTTTGCGTTTTTACAGTCTTTTTCCTGCTGCGGCGACATGTGCAGCGGGAAGTCTGGGCGCATCGCCCACAGTTCTTCCTCTAGCTGCAGAACTGTGTCGACAAAATGTTTGTCAACGTCTTTGTCAGCAGCATGTGAAATTACCGGCCTCGCCAGTTTTCCTTCCCAGTCAACGACTGCAATGGCATAGGCGACGGGCACGTGTTCTTGCACCCGATTTCTTCCACTCTCGTCACTACCTTCCAATTTTTTCAGTGCACACTCAAAGTCAAAATATGCCGTGAAGGGGACACGCTGAGTTTTGGGGAAGCATTTTGCATCGAATGATGAAACCGTTCCTGGCTTTGCGTACTCTATTCGCTGCGCACCGAATTCCTTGCACGAATTTTCATGTTGGTTAAGTCTTTCTTGAGTTGGAAGAGTATTCAAACAGTAGCAGCAGTAGAACGCACGAGCCCTCTTGCGTGTTTGACTGTACAAAAAGGCATGAATATCCTGAACTAACACATAGTGGTATTGGCCCTCTCGTTCCAGCAAGAGAAGTGTGATGTGGTTTTCCTTCTTTTCACTGGTGCAGTACAGCGGCACAATAATTGATTTCGTCTTCTTTTTTGTCTTCTGTGTATCGGCGTCCCAGCTCACTGCTTCCCCCTCCTCTTCTTCCTCTTCATTCACTTGTTCTTCTTCTCCAGTGCTGTCCTCCGCCTCTTCGCACTCCATGGCGCTATCGTCGATGGGTATATCCCCGTCCGCACTTTCCTCCTTCTCCTCTTCATCTTCTTCGATCACATCTTCATAGAGCACGGTCAAACTAATTGCGGGGTTGAGTTTTTCAAATCTGGGAATATCTTTTACTTTCATTGGTTCGTATTTAATATTTCCCATATTTAGCTCATCCAAATACTTGGTGTAGTTAGCTTGTCGATATTTGTTGTCTGCTGCGGGGTGCAATGCAGCAATAATTGACAGTCGAAAGCAATCGTCGTTGCCATAATTTTGAATATTAACAAGAGTCTGCTTCGAATTCTTCAAATGGGTGGGTGTCGAAATGTATGAGCTTCCGCGGAGCGGGCTATTCGTTGCAATGTTCAAGTCAAACCCGACCACTTCACTGATCACCCACGAACTGCCTTTGAGGTTAGTGTGATCCGCCATCGTCAGAACCTCGGCGAGAGCTTTCTCGACGGTCTCCTGGACGTTGTCGCCGTGCTTGAAAAGCGTGTGTTGGTAGCTGTTCAAATACAGCGTCTGCCTTTCAATCTCCAACTGTGCAGAGCCCGGTTCCGCGGGCACCTCGCGAGAGGCAGCGACTTTGCCGCTGATCTGCCATTTAATGCCTTGTATTGCTTCTTGCAGATGTTTCTTTAATTTTGAAATGATGTTTTTCTTGTTGTTGATAAGGCATGCTTCCAAGTCGTACTGGTTTTGCACCGTCGTCGAGTGCTTGGATACGTTCTTCTTGAGCGCGTACGTGGTGTCCCATTGCAGTTCCTCTTCTTCTTCTTCTGACCCCTCTTCTTGATTGCTGGGGCCGGCTCCTCCGAATTGACTTGCTTGTTTCTGGTGCTCTGCGCACTTCTGGTAGTGCACGTCTCGATCGTGTGCGGATGCAAACGATTCGCGGCAGTAGAGGCACAGATAGGATGAAGGTTTCTTTCCGTTGTCCTTTTTGCAGACTTTTTTGTGCTTTTGGTACTCTTTTAAGTTTCGCATCGTAGTATGACACACATCGCACATTCGCTCCTCACTATGCACGCGATCAAAATGATATCGAAGTCGATCTTCTGTTTTACATTTCTTGTCGCATCTCGGACATGTAACACATTTTCCTGTTTGGTGTATCGATTCAATATGTTGCTGGAGATGATAATGACGACTGAATGTTTGGGAACACTCCTTGCACACGTAGTTTCTAAAATGGCATCTTTTATGGTCTTGCAAAGATTTCTTAGACTTGCAGATCTTGCTGCATTTATCGCAAGAAAATATCGCCCCGCATGTTGCTGCTTCTATGTGCTTTTTTAAACATCCGTTGGACTTGAAGTTCCTGAGGCACTTCTGACACTGTGGGGTGCATGGTTTTGACTGATGTTCTCGAAGGCGGGCGGGTCTTGCGAATTTCGCTCCGCACTTCTCACATTCGAATTTCGGAGGCGGCGACATTTCTGTAGAGAAATAATAATAATAATTCGCATGAGTATGAGATACAAATATAAGAATAAATATAAACACGCGTCGCGCTCGCGAAGAATTTGCTTACCGAGAATAGTTGCACACAGTATGGCTGGTTGCACTATGCAGCGTCACCCTGCTGCTGCTGCGCGCGCACACCCAATCACTGGACCGGAGCACAAACGACGCGCGCGAGAGAGAGACGTCTCGACTCGACCGCTTCCGCACCCAAACTGACGCATGATGCAATCTATAGGCGCTGGCTGCTGCACTTTAACCGGTCAAAGAATTGATCGGGTGGTTAGTTGGAAATCCTGCCGCCTCGATTGTCGCAGCGCGATCATCGACCCCTCTGCACGTGCAGCCCCTCCCCCACCCACTATTTGGCATCGCTGCATCTTCCCTCTCTCTCCCTCCCACGCATCTCGCGCGCATCTTGCAGGTGCACGTGTTCGATTTGGTATGTTGCACTACGCGCACCCCTCCCATAATCCAGCGCTGCCCTGCTGCGCGGCACCCTCCCTCGTCACGAAACGCTGAGTCATCCGCGCCACGCAACCCCTACGCACACTCCCCCACCCC